ATATATATATATATATATATATATATATATATATATATATATATATATATATATATATATATATATATATATATATATATATAATAGGAGGTGAATGACTACTTATCTAAAGTTAATGTAATTTAATTGCCCAAGAAGATCCCCACTTTGATCTAGTAATTGTCAATAAGCTTGGAAAATGAGTAACTAGTGATTGTATTGACAGTTGAGAGATTTTTAGAAAATTGTATACCACCTCCTATCTGCATTATTTGCGAATTTGGCTAAATGAATTTCTTTCAGAATATTTAAAGATTCAGAAATGAGAAAGGCATTTGTTTGCAAATCTACTCTTGCTCCAGTAAGTAATCTATACAATTTATCTGATTAATCCCTCAATTGTCATTAAAAAGTTGAACACACCATATAGTCATTAATCACTCATTTTCCAAGCTTATTGACATTTACTAAATAAATCAAAGTGGAGAGGTTTTCTAGGCAAGTAAATTACACCTATGTTAGAGTAGTAGTCATTCATCTTCTATTATAAATTTAATCTTGACTATCGATGTTGTGATTTAGATCAGGTACTTGTTGTCTACCAACATAATTATTGTCAGGTTCAACATGCATGTTTAAATCTAATTGAATTGATTAAATGTGGTGGCTTTATCGTGTCCATGTCTATCTCAATGTTTAAGAAAGTTTGCTCCATTTAAATTTCTTTGAGGTTTATTGAGGTAAGTAAAAATCGATGGATGGCACTTGAATAAGGTAAGACTTGATAGGGGAGAGATTAATGTACCAAGAGAAAGTTAATCTTTTAATCGACATGCAACTATTGTTTGAATAGATCTCAAGAATCATAATGTCCACCTTAAAAAGAAAAGACATAAAGGATAGTTTAGATAGATACTCTTATGATTAAAGCTATTAAATGTCTTTCTTAAGGTGTGCGCAAAAATCTTGACGACTAGTATAGGAAAGAGGTTAGTAAATTATTTATTGGAGGAGCGATAGATTGGGAAAAAATAAATAAATGACTCTTGGTTTTCTAAATGTCAAATATATTGAAACAAACTCAAATGATAAGAGATAGTATAATCTAAAAAAATTTCTCAGTCTCAATGCCTAGCCAAACACATAAAATAGGACGAATGGAATAAATATATAGAGATCTTTTTTGTGGATATCGTTTAGAAAACCTTATCTAGTTTGGTCTAAAAAATCATTTAATGCTCGCTGATAATTCACAGATCAAATTCTACTAAGCGCTATTTTCTTGACAGTTGGCTGGCTTGGCCGCAGGAAAAAAAAAGGTTCTTTAGTAATTTTCAGTCTTGAACCAAGATCTTTAGTAGCTAATAATGGGAATTCACTTTGACAATTGAATATTCAAATAAATATTCTTCAAATATAGCAGTTAACGATAGAGCTAGAAAAACACGGCCTATGCAGTTCTAATAGAAAAATCTATTTGAATCATAATAGTTAAATAAAATATAATGTGAAAGTTATGAAAATCATGCTTTAAGTTTTGCATAAGAACTAACATGCACACAATCTTCCAGTTCAGCTTTCTATTGATGATTATTAATCTATTTCATCATATAGCTTTATGGTATTTTGAAAATAAGGCTTAATTATACTGATCACCCGTCTATCTTGGTATAGGTAATGGGACATCCCTCTAATTGATTACCTCCCCCCTAAGACTTGAGTGTTCTGGAAATCGAAATGTCAAGTATTTCTGTCACTTCCTCCTTGATATCTTGTATCTTACTCCTATCTCATTTTGTCACACAGCCATGATTTTCTTAAAATATTTATCTAGCACTTTTTAATTTATTTTTCCAGAAATAGTTGGGCAAATTTGCTAGATGAACAATGTTTAGGAGTTTCTTTAGTCAGTTTAGAGATGTGTATGTTACTAGAAATTGAAAAGAATCCTTTTTTGGTAAAGAACATTACATATTGAATATAAGAATGAAACGGAAAATGGAGGAAAATGGATAATGAAGATTCATATAACCGAACTGAACTAACAGGATTGAGGAACAATTGTCATTGTTGTTGTTAATGTAGTTAGACAAGATACTCAAATGATACTGGCTTAGCATCCATAAAGGAAATATTGTGACTTATACGAATATTCATATATCTTTTTTTTTGGATAACTGTAGCGTTCGGGCTAGGTAACTCTATCCACCAAGGCTTGAATAGATGGGAAGAAATCACCTAGTATTTTTTGCCTCCGCTGGGATTTGAGCCTGAGACCTCATAGTTCTCACCCACTTCATTGACCATAGGCCACACCTTTCGGTGCTCGAATATTCTTATATCTACAATATGTGATTTATAGTACTATTCATATAGTATCTCCAATACAAAATTACACGTCCAAAATCAACTTGAAAGTTAATAAGTTTAACTCCATATAAATCTTAAAAAGATGTGGTTTATAGCATTATTCGTACAGTATCTCCAATATAAAATTATAATCAATATTCAATATCAACTTCAAAGATAGTAAGTTTGACTTCAGTGTTCATTCTTCTAGCGGGCGGAAAGATGAACCATTTTCAACATAATAGAAGTGTGTATCAGATTCGTGAAAAAAATGACTAGGTCCATGGGCCTGTTGCGAAAATTGAGAAATGAAGCGCAAGTTTCAAAAATTAAAAAATACCAAACATATATGAATTTAGTACTGTAATAATCACACTGCAACTAAAATAACTAATTTTAGTATCTAATTTTTAATGCTGCTGAAATTGATCCAAACTCCTGAAAATTACGATTCAAAAAATCAACCGCTTCTCGTTAGGATCACTTTGTGTGTCACTGTTTGAAGTGCACACTTCCCTTAAGCGCATGGCTTCGCCACGAAGCGATAACCCCTCCTTATCGCTTCAACCGACAGGGTGATGGCTTTTAATACAACTCAATTCTAGTGCTACATACTCCCTTTTATCACAAACGGACTATTCTACTTTCTATGGTTTTCTTTTACTCAATATTGTGTACATATAAGGACGTATATTGTTTCTCAACATTCTTCAATATTGTTTCTTATTAACAAAATAATGCTAATGATTTTTATACAAAATAATGTCATGTATCCTTCAAAAAGTTGATTATCTCAGTTCGTAAGATCCGGCTATGGGGGACGGATGGTGGCAAACAATATCATGAGAGGGCCCAAAAGCCAATGGGGACAGCTCTTTGTAGTCGCGGTCCCGAAATGGAGCACATAGAGAGAAATCATATTTCTGGATCGGAAATTATAATCTAATTTAGCAGTGCAACTTGTCAGACCATAGGTCACGGTTTTCGTTTAATCATATTTTTTTAATCGGAAATCTAATCTAATCATTTCTAAGGGGAGCATTGGAGCAACTGTCAAGTTGTCTCCGTGTGAAGGTCACGGGTTCGAGCCGTAGAATCAGCCACTTATGCATGCATCAAGGTAGGCTGCCTACGTCACACTTCTTAGGGTGCGGCCCTTCACCGGATCTTGCGTCATCGGGCTGCCTTTTTTTAACATGTCAAACCACTGAACACTGTGTCACTCAAAAAATATAACAAAAACAGAAGGATTATGTTGGTGCTAAAGAGATCAACATTCAGCAAATAATGAAAAGAGAAAATAAGGATAATATTCAAATGTAGGAAGAACAGAGGGAGATGAAGCAAAGCATCTCCAAGGGGCTGATATTTCCAATATGGAAAGTTAAACCCCTGCAGAACCTAAAAGATGAAGGCAGCAGTAACATATGAATTATGAAAAAGAGCTGGGGAACTTCTAGTATTTGTACTCGTGGTGGCAATTATGAAGAATTTTTGTATGCGGAGTACATGAGGAAGTCATGTCCCAGAATGATGTCCACTTTGGTTCGCTGGAGTTGGGAGTGCTGGAGTAGGCAGCTTCAAGGTTTTGCCTTTTTGGTTTGTGTCCCTTAGTGTAAGAAGAATATGGTGCATCTTATTAGATAGATAGTAGGCTAAGTTTTAGTGATTTTATTTGCAGACAGCCACTGACCAAGCGAAACTAAAGAATTATTTTATTTAAAGTAGAATTTATCTCCACCTATATCAGCCAATTGAACCAGGACATCCATATTGGGAAAGAGGGTATACTTATTAAGCTTGCTTTTCAAATGTCATTATTATGGATGCTGTAGAAGATGTTTCCTTATTTTAATTAGAAAAGATGGAGTAGCACCAAGGAATGTACAACAACTACTCTTCAGTCTCAGACAAGGTGTGGTCATCTATATGAATCCTCTGACAAAAACTAGAAAACCTTCTTAAAAACATTATTCTGTAAAAAACGCATTTAATTATCTATACTAAATGGAATATCATAGGTGCTCCCAAGAGAGCCTCCCCCTTGTAATGATCCATCCACAGATTAACCCCCCATGTGAGCTTATCTAGACAGTTTCTGCTTATCGGTGCCACTACTGCACCATTCTCCCTCTACTCATGGTTTGTAAGTAAAACTATTCTCATTTGCACCAAAAACAAAACCTCCGTCGAACACTCTTCTATTTCCATCCTTCCGTACATTCCACATAAGTGAAAAAGGTACCACTTCCCATCTATGCTTTTGTGCCTTTTTCCTTTAATATTCCTGGAATTTTGATTATAAACTGCTGTATCATTTTTAAATTTTGGAGAGAGTAATTTTTTTTTCTAAGTATATCAAAATTTAGTGAAGCTTCATACAGGAACAAAGAGACCGGCATGCCATAGGAAAGAGTCTCCGAGATTTACAGCCCAAAAAAAATTACAGAGGAATTTGGTTTAAATTCTAATCAAACAAACTAGCAGAGAAATACCTTGACAATCAAGAAATGGAGTTCTATAAGTTAAGGTGGTAAAATTTTAAAAATAAGGCAATCAAGTGTATATCCCTGGTTCATAATCTCCTCTTGCAAATTTATAAAATTATTTCTTTTATTAACTGTTGCTAATATTGTAGAATGACCCGAAATTATGCGCAATTCCAAGGTTGAAAAGTTTTGCTCATCTAAACTATTAAACAGTTTTCAAACAACCTTTATAAGTTAGAACATTGATCATCCAATCAATCAACAAGATTCAACCCCAAACTAGTGGCAGATAAGTTAAGTTGAGTTGAGTTGTAATCCAACCTATTCCTCAATGTAATAGAAAAGCAGTACATGTTTGTATTCCTATGAAGCTAATTATTTCAAATCAAACAAAAATATACAGTGTGGATTCAGGTTAAGCAAATTATAATACTCCTTATAGCACTCTATAGCCGACAACTAAATTGCCCCAAACCCAGACCATATATCTCGAGCTATGAGCCCATTATGTATATGAGCAAATATTTTTCTTCTTTACTTCATCTTTATTTTCCTCTAGTCAAGCATAACTAGATCAGCAGTTGTTCCGGTCAAGTCACCAGGTCAGCATCCCAATTATATCATGTTTCCACATCCATTACGTTTTATACATTTAGTAAATGTGTAAAGCAAACAAGTTGGAGGAATAAGTCATGAAGAGTTCAAATACTTCTGAAGCAAATCAAATTCAAGGTCCACATGACTTACTAAGACAATTCAAAGCAATTGAAACATGGCAAATTCATATTACATATAAAAGGATAAAGAAAGAGAGGAAGGAAAGCGCCAAAGTGAACTGCGTACCCTGCAAAAATATGTTTCGTCTTTACCGTCTTCGAACAAGGAGGAATAATATGCAGGATCGTATACAGAACCACCTAGAGCATCATCAGAATTGGATGGCTGTCTAGTTAAGGGAGTTGCAGGATTGAGAAAACTGTTTCTCATATCAACATCTGCTTCTCGGGGAACTGAACTCTCTATATAAGAAACACCCAGCCTATACATTTGAATCCACAATAGTGAAGATGATAATCTCACACAAAATCCGATAATTTGCATGGAGAGAGTGAGTTTCACCGAGAAGATAACAAAGGTTCCATAAATTGTAGACGAAATATTCCTGCATGGATAAATGAAGTTCAGGAAGAAATTTTAACTTTCATAAAATTTAAGAACTGTGGTAAATTTACTGGACAAGGATGTCTGAGAACACAATATATGAGTGATGGCTGGCTCTACATGCATTCTTAGAGAGTGATGCAGCAGCCAATGATGTTACCAACAACAACAACAACTACTACTACTACTATTACTACGCTTCAGTCCCAAACAAGTTGGGGTCGACTATATGAATCCTCACTGACCACGTACAAAACCAAAAAAAAACATCCAGAAAGTGAGCAATAGAGAAACTTCTATTCTTAGGGATTAACTACTTGTGCTCGAAGGAATTCAAAGAACTAAAGCTAGAAGTTAATTACTTCAATGATATTTAGCCCAGACACCCATTTATTAGCCTATTATTTTTTTTGATGAAGTAAGGTGTTATATTGCTGGCATCAAGAAGATGCAAATCATTACAAAAGAGGTTGGTTAGTTCCATTTACACAAAAATACAGTTCTGACCAGGGAGCTAACCAGAAGCGCCAAAAGCCTAAAGTTGGCAATCAAACCAAAGACAGAGAGCTAATAAAATCTAGAAATGGAATTAGATCATTTACAGAGGAAAGGTTGCTCCAGCTATATAGATTCCTAAGGCACTTTGCTTTCAGGTAGCTGTTGATTGCTTTCTAAAGAGGAAAAGATAAGGGTGTGTACTTATCATCAGTCTAGGATAAGTTATGCTACACGGACACGGGGAAATTCTTCTAGAATATTATTACATGGGGCAACAGGAGCACAGAGGAGGAACTTCTTCAATAGCATTTGATAGCATATTTTCTTGAGTCAGTCAGTCTCATAGTATTTTCCATATCTGATATATATTAAATAGGAAAAAATGAATTTGGAGAGTGTGTTGATCCTTAAACATAAAAGGAGGAGGCCTCGCTAAGAAGCTCCTTACGAAGTATAGATAGCCTATCCATAGAGCTCCAAAAGATGATGGCACTGATAATCTGTGAAACCTAGATTTCGAAAGCGGGGTTTTTTTGGGTAGATTCGGAAAAATCAAACAAGACAAGTAGAAGTTCATGCATAATTATTTCCTGCATCTATGCAGAAAAGAAGCTGGAAATACTTTAAAATGACGCAAACTAAGGGAGATAAGATGATAATGAGGGAGGTAGGCGCAAAATATTTTACAATTCTTTCACTTGTAGCTTCCAGAAAGAGGAGATAAAATGGAGGTGTGGAAACTGAATCTCCGAAAAATGTAGCTTCCAGAAAGAGGAGATATTGTGTGAGTTGGTGCTGCATGTGCAAACTGAAGAAAATGCTAATCATCTCTTATTACATTGCAGGTTCGCTCATGAACCCTGTGTTCTCATTTTTCAATATCTCATGAGCATTACCGAGGACAAATGGGAGATTACTGAAGATCGGCAAGAAAGGAAGGCGGCATGGAAAAAAATACTCCATTCTGTCTTGTTTGAAGCTGTGGGCACCAGCAAGTATATGTTGTCCTTTAATCATTGGTTATCAAAAAATATCAGCTTTCCTTTAATCATTCTTGGGTGCTCACAGTGAATAGCCTTTAAACCCAAGTCCTTTCTCATGTTCTTTTGACAGAATTTCCAGGTCAGTCCAGATTCAAATTACTATTCAACAAGAGAAGACCCATTACCCCCCACCCCCCTCCCTACCCCCCACCCCACATATAGCGAAAAGACCCCCTCACTTGTGCAGCGTCAATCTTGGTGTCAAATCACAAGTTTAACCCTGATTTGAGAAATGACAGAACTACAAATTCGTTCAAGCTTAATTACCTATATATTCAGCTCTATTTATAAAAACAGTTGGAGTATCTCTGTAGAGCCTTACATTGGACCTAAAGAGACGCATCACAAAAGATATCAATTATTTGTCTCTTATATTGCTCCAATCTTCCATTTAACACCAACGCATTTAGTTGTGAGAACTCTTAAACACTTCATCTTTCCTCCACCGCGCTACTGTTAGTATCATACTTCTAATTTCAGATACTCATAAATTTTCAATTCCATGCTGGCATTTTTAACTTCCAATTGAAAGCGTGAACATCTGATAAAGCTTCTCCAGTGCATCTACAGCTATAACTAAGAACCGAAAAATGAAATTATCCTTTTATTACTCACACATGGTGGTTTCAAGGCATAAATCATAATAAATGCCTTACATTTATATTTAAAGGCTGTAATACATTAAAGCTAGAGACTACAATGTACATATCAATTGGAACTCCACTATAGCTCACTCACTCCATTTCTAAAGCACATGCTGGTCGAATATCTTAATTCATCGATCACTAATCTGCATCAATAGTTAACTTTAACAATTTGCATCTTCAGAAAAATACTTAATTCAAAAAGCAACAAAAATTTTGGATGGATGGCGCATTAATTTGATGAGATAGAGAATATCTATATCATATGACATATCACTCAGCCTTTCATGTTTCGTTATTGACACAACAATTTTGTGCACTAACAAGCACAAAATAACAATGAGTCATATGATTATCAAGACATTATGAAATCCCCCAAAACATTGAAAGCACAAAATAGCAATGAACCATATGATTATCAAGACATAACGAAACCCCCAAAACAGTCCTTGTATTCATTAAGATTTCACTTCTTTCTTCTTTGATAACCAAGAAATCCCCAAGGGTTAGTGGTACACGATTTTAAACTCGGTGGATAATGCCCCCAACCCTTCTCCACCTAAATGCCGCATTTTTCTCTGCAGGCAAGGTTCGAACTTGTGGCGTGCGCCTAACTCACAAGTCTTGAGGTTTGCTCTTACAAATAGATCAAAGTCCTGGGACTCATTAAGATTTCATTTCTCCGATCGTCAAATATGTTTAAAGCAAGTTTGGCATCAAAATATCCTCTGAATAAGGATACCTTAAGAGGGTGATTCTCAAATTTCGAGAGATTTTTAACACACACAAGCAGCTGAGGTAACAAGTTGTTAGTGAGTTATGTTAACTTAATACATCAGTCAATACAACAAAAGATATTCAAGTGAAATTTTATAGTGGTTGGTTATTTTAAAATCTCATTCTTAATATACTAAGGGGTTGTTTGGTTGTTGGTTAGAGTTATGCAGGTATTAGTAATGTGTGGATTAGTTATGCAGGGATAGTTATATATTATACAGAGTTCTGTTATGCATGGTTTAATTATGAAGAGATTAGTTATGTAAGGATTATTAATGCATGGATTAGTAATTTAAGGATTGTAATGTAGAGATTATTTTTTGTTAAATGTTTAATTTATTTTAATTATACAATGTGTTATTAAAAATAAATAAGAGAGTTTTTTGGTCATTTGAATGTTTAATCCATATATTACGAATACATGTATTAGTTATTATGTCCTACCGTGCATAAATAATACATAAATCTGTTGTATTTATACCCCAATAGAAAAAGCAACCAAACATAACATTAGTTATGCTGACTTGTGTACAAACTAACAGCTACCAAACATGGTATTAGTTATGTTACTCCTAATACATGAATAACTTACTACCAAAACGACCCCTAAAGCTATACAATTATGAAAAGTTCACTAAGTCTTCCTTTTACTCTATGAGTTTAAGTTTTCTGCACTGATGGTTTAAAAAACATTTACACAATAAGGTCACTCAAAAGTAATTGCAGGTAATTTTATTTAATAGTATGAATCTGTAACCTAGAATAAATGGTAAGTAACAGGTTAAATGACACTGATGTAAAAAATTCATTACAGTCAGTGTATATAACTTACCAGATTTCGGATGCGAAAAGAAAGAACCAACAAACGTCGAGTAAGATGGCACAGAAGAGAAGGAGAGCGTAAGTTCTACCAAGACTCTGACTGCTACTCTCAATAGCCACCAATGCGAATAACCCAATCCCTAAATTGATTAGTGAAACGCCGTTGTAGAATGCCCCAAGAGATCCAATCATCGCACAACCAATCTGAACATTGGGTTAAATCACAAATTAATAATAAGTTTATTTATTTATACTCAAAAAAGAAAAGAAAAATCAAGAATTACCTGAACATAGATGAGAATAACAGCAAAGGATTGAATCCTGTCATAATCACGAAGCCACGTCTGTATCTGAGTTCTAAATGCAGAACAAAGCATCATATACCCAAACAAAATTAAGGAAAAAAGGAGTAGTAGTAGAAGATTAATGATCGTCGCGGGCAATGGGTTCTACATTGAAAACCCCGCAAAAGCGTTCGAATTTCGCTTCTACAAAGCGATGACAGTTCCTACTATTGATTGTGCTTTCATTGGATCAGTGAAGAAGTAAGAATCTTGTTGCCTTTTGGAATTGCAATTGCAATGAAGCCAGTTATGGGAAAAAGGGGCCAGCCCAGACCCAGAGCAAGGAAAGCCGATTTCCCGGATGTGTTGGGTTTCTTTCTTTAAAAATTTCGACGTAATTCTCGATTTTTGCCGTATTAATTTTTAATTAAATAAAGTGGCAATAGTTTTTTCTTTTCTTTTTCTTTTTCTTTAAAAGTACCAAATAGTTACTTATGTTGGCGACTATCTTTTTTTTGTATGAATAGACTATAGAAGAGAGTGTTACCGGAAGTTACCAAAAGCAAAGACGAAGAAGCTTTTCAAGAATGCAAGAGAGTTAAGAAGGAAGCTCTAGATTGCTCATTTGCTTGTATCAAAAGATATGGACAAGAGAAAGGGAGAAAGAAATGTTTAGACTAGCACGACTAAGAGAGAAGAGCGGTAAGGATCCAAACTAGGTGAAGTGTTTTAAAATCGATTCTCAATAAGTGTTGACAGGAGATAACGAGATCAAGGAGAGATGAAGAGGATATTTTGATCAACTATTCAACTCGAACCAAGAGGATAGCATTTTAGACCTCCAGACATCCGCGTATGATAGAAATTTAGTTAACCCATAGAATTAAGCCGATAAAGGCAAAAGATGCCACAAAAAAATGAAGGTTAGAAAAACTTGTGATCCAGATAGTATTCATATTGAGGTATGGAAGTGTCTTGGGGAAGTTGGAATGATATGGCTCACCAAGTTATTTAATGACATACTAAGAAGTGGTAGGATACACGGAGAATGGAGTCCAATCTATAAGAACAAAGGACAAATTAAAGTTATGTGAACTATCGTGGAATTAAACTCATGAGTCATACATTAAAACTTTGGAAAAAAGTGAAAGAGCATAGACTTAGGAACAATGATAAGAGTGACAGAGAACCCGTCTGGATTTATGCCTAGTAGTTATACAATAAATATTCTTGCTAAGAAGTTTGATGAAAATTTATTGTGAAAGAAAGAAAGATCTACACATGGTGTTTATTGACCTAGAGAAGGCATATGATAGAGTATCACAGGAGGTCTTATCGTAGGTGATGTAAAATAAAGAAATTCATATTAAATATATAAATGTCATAAAGGACATGTATAAAGGATCTACCACTAGTGTAAAAATAATAGTCGGAGATACAAAAGAGTTTCTTAAAGTAGTGGATTTATATTAGGGTTCTACATTGAGCCCTACTTATTTGCCCTAGTTATAGATGATCTTACCAACGCAATACAAAATAAGATCTTATCATGTATGCTTATTTGCTAATGATATTGTGCTAATTGACAAAACTAGTGAGGGTGCCAACCAAAAGCTTGAGCTTTAGAGAAGCACCTTAGAGAGTAAAGTTTTAAGATAAGTAGAAGTAAGACTAAGTACATTCCAAGTTTATTCGGCATGAGAAGAGCGAAGTTGAGGAGAGACTAGATAAAATTGCGGTGCCAAAATACAAATAATTTAGATATCTAGGCTCGTTATTTCAAGAGAATGGTATGATAGATGAATATGTTACTCATAAGATTAGAATTGAATGGTTGAAATGCAAAAGTGACATTGGGTGTTATGTGATATAAGTATGTCTACTAACGTGAAAGATAAGTTCTATAGAACAACTATAAGACCGATTTTGATATATGGTATGGAATGTTGGGTTGCTAAAGTTTAACATATCCAGAAGACGAGTGTTGCAGAAATACGAATGCTAAGATAGATGTGCGACTATATAAGATTAGATAAAATTAAAAATAAATTCATGCACCTGAAGGTGCAAGTAGCACACATTGAAGATAAATAAGAGAAAGCCGTTTGAGATGGTTTGGTCATGTAATGCGTCGACTTATAAATGCACTGGTCTATAGGTTTGAAACTATGATGAGGAAAGGTGTTAAAAGGAGATAGGGGTAGATTTAAAATCACATGAAAGAAAATTATCTTGAAAGACCTACAATCCTTGAAATCAATGCAGACTTAGCTAAAGATAAAGTATAATGGAAGAGGAAAATCTATATAGTTGATATCTACTAGTTGGAAATAGATTTTAGATTTGGTAGAGAACTTTTATCATCATCATTATTGTTGTTGTTGTTGTTATTGTTGTGGTCATTAGACTGACTATTATTAATATATATTTATCTTTTTCCAGCACTTTTTATTTTATTTTAATAATGATGATGATATGAGTTGAACTTAATAAAAAGAATGATGATTCGTACCGTCGACCCTAAGTTATTTGGGACTGAAGCATAGTAGTTATTATTGTTGTTGAACAGACTTCAGACTCAATGCATATTTCATACACTAGAATCTTTTAATTTTGTCACCATTTTAATTAATGTGTAAAAAAAAAGTTTCGGCCCGTTATAACATTCACAAATTATGATAGGTGGAAGAATTAAATAAATGCTTGCATAAGTTATGGTCATAATTTTGGTACATTTTTTAGTCTACTTATCATGTTAAATTATTCATAAGTGTTGTTGTATTGACAAAACTTGTATTTTTCAAAGTTATGCTGGCAAGGCACAACTTAGTATAAAATGTTCACCCATTCTTCTGGACGGACAAAACTTGCCTTGTTCACAAGTTATGTCAAGCGAATAACTTTGGATGCCCGAATTGTTCACAAGTTTTGCTAAATGGACAAAACTTTCCTTGTTCACAAGTTATGCCAGGTAAGATATAATGTCACCACCTAAAATTTTCACCAATGGTTGTAATGACACCTAATCTCTACTGGCTATGTAAGCCAACAATAATAACCAATCAAAGCAAGACAATAAAGAACAATCTACTGATAAAGCATAAATACATCTTAACTCCATAATATCAAAATATGAAAATTCCAACAAAAACTCTCAAAATACGTAGTACGAAGTCATGAACTTCTAAGATAAAATTCAAATGAGTCATAATATAGATGTATTGTCTGAAATAAGATAACAATATGTTATTAAAAAGAAGGTGACTTCAAGGGGTTTGCAGTCGATCAAACAATGCTACCTTGAGTCGCGTGAGTCAACAATTTGGCACCATCGCGAAATCCACTAGTGCCAATGCCAGAATCTGCATAAAATATACCGAAGTATAGTATGAGTACAAAAATAATGTGTACTCAATAAGTATCAAGTCTAATGTTGAATAAATAGTGGCGAGATTTTGACAAAAGCATGATACTCACTTTCTCAACCTAGGCAGTCAATATTAGCATAAAATTATAGAAAATAACCAAAAATCAAATATAGTAACGAGGTGAAAAGATTAGAAATAGGATAAGCATGCTTCTCAAACAAATGACTAGAACACAATTCAACTATTAAATCTGCATATAAGGATGATATGCACCAAGTAGCACCTATATGAATTCTTCTAAATAAGTATGGGATGATCATGCATGCTCAAGACTCAATTACAGCCAATATCCGGCATATCCCATATGCTCTAACATGATCCAACACATTCCACGTGCTCAACACGATATGTGTATTTGCGTTCATAAGATCCAATGTAATATGTGTAATCACCTAACTATGTAGGGACAAATCCATATCCAAGTGCTGCATAGAAATTTATCGTGCCATAACATATCAGTATCACAATAACTGCATGGTATAAACCATTTTGCCCATAACAATAATAATATCACAATAATCGCATGGTATAAACCATCGTGCCATAACAATATCAATTTGCTCAAATGTCTAAATATGCGATAATCATATCAATTTGTACCAACATCTCCATCTCTAAGGATGTATACTTATTTTCAAGATATAACTAACAAAATGCAAAAGGACATACTAAATAAAGATGTGCACAGGTGCTCATGATATAAAGTATGACTACCGCTAAATCAAATATATCAACAACTTTTATAATAATCCATCATGACCAAACAAGACGTCATAAAGTAATACATGATTTCTAGTATTAATAAATAGGCTCACATAGTTATACAATTAAATAAAGCATAAGTCAAGAAGGAATAAATAACCAAACAAGGCATAAAGAAGCCTAAAACTACGCAAAATATGGTATATCCTTAGTATACATATATACGCTTGTCACCTCACATATACATCACACCCAATCATATAGCATGTAACACATAAGTCCAATTTGTAGAAAAATTTCCTCTTAACAAGGTTAGATGATCACACCCAACTATGCCTTATAAAAAGGACTAAGTGGTCGTTGCAAATATAATCCGGTTTGCAAGTCTGGAGTCGAATCCCACAGAGAACTAAGGCTTAGCTATAGTTGTTCATTGCTAAAAAACAGAAGTCCAAACAATTTCCTAATTATAAACATTGCGATTCTTATTTTAGACTAATTAACTAGAAACTATTAAAAGCAGTAAAAATATCAACTAAGGATAATATTTGAAGACAAGATTAAGGAGGTCTGGAGTTATAATTTCCCAAATTGTAGAAATCCTTCCTGTTGTGTCTCCTATAATTTTGCCTAAGTATTCTCTACCGGTCGTGAGTACTTTGGTTGTCGTAATTCTCTCTCGAGCAACTACCACAATTTACCAGATGTATTCTCTCGAACTACACTAGCTGGCACTAATTCACTGCTCACTATGATCGCACCAAGGTTTTATTTATCTCTAATCCCGCCTTTAAACCTTCTGTATTGATCTCTCACATACGTTACGAGTGATGTTGTTCAACAATTACCTAAATATGTACTCTCTCTCGAGCAGTACATACTAAATATGCATAGTCAATTGATGGCCATTCAATCAACAACAACAAACATGTAGTTGAACAAGTAGAGAAATCCAACTGCTTATTTATATTAAGATATAACAAGAAGTTATCCTACAAAAGGTTCTATCAAAACTCTAGATAACAAATTAGTTAGTCATAATAGTATGCAAAACTATAATACTAAAATTCATAATGTTTACCTCGAAAAATACGAGTAACAATTAAATTTGATTTGTGATTTTAAAGATATGTGATTTAGTTCAATACCAATTAGTAATCGAGAAATATGAAGTAGGAATGGAAAAAGGATAAGCGAATCAAACCAATAACACTCGACAGTGATGACCTCGAGACGGTGATCTCGAGATGACTAAGAGCAATAAAGT